TGCTGCTGCTGTTGTTGTTGTTGTATAGCTCCAGGAACTGTTGAACATCATCTTTCCAGTATAGCTCTAAGGGGAATGCAGTCAACAGAGGCCTATACTACCAGGTTTCCGTGTGAGTTCGGAGTAGGCTATCATGACTGAGTTCCGATTGCTGCGCTCGAAGTAGTTAGTGGTTGTTGCTCACCATTTTTCTGGCTCTTAGTTCGAAAGAACAGCAAGATCATGTCACCCGTGCCCAAGCTGGATGCACATCCGGAACAGTACACAGAAGGACAACCCACAAACCCACGGAACTCCGTAGCAACACCCAACAAGGTTGTCGTGAACTTTTCCTGGAGCCATGGGTATCTTGACATCCTTGGCCAAAGTGTTCTGCCTCCACGTGGTGCTGATTGTGGGGGTTCTGGCCTACGAACTGGCCATCTTATACAACTCTTCAGCAAGGCAGGCCCTGCCAGTATGGGGTTTAGGATTTAGGGTTCGGGTTTTAGGGTTTAGGTTTTAGGATTTAGGGTTTAGGTCTTAGGGTTTGAGGTTTAGGGTTCGGGGACAGGGCAAGGCAAACTTGTTAGTGGATCATGGTTTTCAGCCCAAGCGAAAATGGAACAGCTTCCTGGACATATGCAGTAGGGTTCCCGAAGCGATGGCTAAGATATTTTCATTGACTTACTGGTGCTTCAGGGAGACTGCGGGAGCGGATCCCAATAATATTCCCCATGTAATCCCCATATTCTCCTTTGAAGGTACCTAAGCTCACTTCTAAACCCTAGGCCCTAGACGCTAACCGTTTAGGGTTCAGTTGTAATTACAGAAGGCAATAGGCTTGAAGACTTCGCACAGATATCCCCCCGGCTTTGATTTTCACAACCTGTTACATAAGCTCTTCGTACCACCCTAAACCCTGGACCCTATAGACCCTTAAACTCCAAAACCCTAAGCCATAAACTCCAAAACCCTATAGACCCTAAACCCTCAACCCCTAAACCCTAAACCTCAGGTACAAGCCGGCTTTGACAGATGCCAGCCAGACGATGAGGGCCGCGCAATTTGCTCAGCCAGGCCCCACCAGCGTCATCAAAGTTGTTCAGATTCCGCGGCCCAGGTGGGCAGTGGTTCAAAGTAAGGGTTTCCCAAGCTTAGGGGTCCCTTAGAAAGGGGTTTTAGAGGGGTTTATGTGGGGGTATATAGGTTCATACAGGGCTTGGGGTTTAGGGATTGGGGTTTCCCAAGCTTAGGTGTACTTTTCTGGGGCCCCCAATGATCAGGATGAAAGCATTTTGGGGTCTAACTGTAGGTCCCCGCTTTGTTGTGAAACTACCAAGTAAGATAGTGTTCAGTTGGGTCCGGTATTCGGGTTCAGTAAGGGCTTAGGGTTTCAAGTTCAGGGCTCGGAGATTCGCTAGCGAGGGTACGGATTGAGGGTTCCTGGCCCAGATCCTGGCCTCTCTCTCTCTCTCTCACTGAGGGTTTGGGGTTTAGGGTTTAGGGGTCTGTCTCTGTGTCTCGAGTCTCAACTTGCGCAACCAGGACCTTAAAATCACCCCGCATGTGGATTGATATGCAATTTCTTATTGGATGTAGAAACATAAGAGCCCCTAGCCATCGCAAGACCACGCAAATTTCCGGCACACACGCGTTGGGGGGTGACCGGAAATGTTAATTCCCTACTGCGCCCCTCATACTAGGCTTGCTATGAAGGAACTTAAGTGAAGTGGTCATGCGAGAGAAACTAATGCATTCATTATATACCAATGTCCTCGAAATTTAGCTTTTGGCTCTTACACCAACAACCCGGAATCCCCCCAAGGGGTGCCCACATCCAAACCCTCCGCAATCCCTTGAGATGCCAAGTGCTTTAACAGCGCCCCAGTAGTCCTCAGATCTCGAGACACCAGGTGCTGCGAGACCACCCAGGTTCTGATCAAAGTTGGCACTGGAGGCCTAAACCCTGTGGACTTCAAGCAGAGGAGGAATCCAACGTTGGAGCAAATGAGGCCTGTGCTGGATGCTATTAGCGTTGGTGAAAAAACCCAAGACCTAAATAGTAGTTTCCATGTTATTTTCCATTATCCCTAAATAACGCTTATATTACCCTGACTGTAGCCTGTGCGGTCCTAGACTGGTCCCTGAGCGTCCAAGTATCCCATCATCATATACTTACCCAAAACATGCATTACAAGTACTATTTCCCAACTCCCAAGTACCTAATCATTGGGTACTTGGTTGGACCCTCCGGGGTTCTTTGAAGGATCTAATCTAGACTGCAGTGTTCTTCCAGTAAGGCCTCGAAGAATTGGCCTCTCTTCTTTACATACATGCCTTTCGCGTAGCATTCCTCCGAACGGTTCAAGTACCCAATAATTAGGTACTTGGGATTTTGGCAATAGTAATTGTAATATAGGTTTTAGGTAAGTATATGCTTGTCAAGTACTTAGACCCTTAGAAGTAGACAGGAAGCGGCCCTGAGGCCCTTGCCTGCCGTTTCGGGCTTCGACTTTTCTGGAGAAGTTCTCCAGATTGGATCCGGCGTTCTGGGTTTCCGGCCTGGTGACACTGTGTAGCTTGGCCATGAGAATAACATTTTTGTTGGCGAGTGCTTGAAGGTCTGTGTGCAGAATCCTGGTGCTCATCCAGAAATCCATTCTTCAGTCTGATAAGCAAGCGCCTTCCTTGCGAATGATTCCTTGGCCCTAGGTTGTATCAGTGTTAATACTACTGCTCGTTAGAACATCCCTGATCCCTGACAGCATAATGACTTCCCAGCAGATGGATACAAACCACCGCGCTAGCGCTGGTTCCTCAAGCTTTTGACCCTCTGCTTGAAGCCAAGAACGAGCGAGCAGGAGCGAGAACGGGAGACTCAGAGAGACAGCGGCAGACAGAGAGAGAGAGAGAGACAGAGAGAGAGAGAGAGAGAGAGAGCGCGAGGGCATAGGATAAAGATAAACACAGAAAGAGGGAAAGGAGGCAGAGAGAAAGAAAGAACGGACGAAAACAAAACATAAAATAAAACATGAATACATAAAGAGAGAGTAGAATCAAGAACGAGGAACGCACCGAGAGAAGAAGATACAAATCTTTAGTAGCAAGCAATACCTTGTGGCATTGTTGACGTGAGTGCCTAGACAACAAGAAGGGACACACATCTATGCGCGGTTTTGCGCCCGCGCCCTATAGCAGTGAGTGTTGGCTGTTTGGGAGTCCCTCTGGCCTGAGACAATACCTGCCGTGGCTTCATTGCACCGCGCCAATCTGCCTCATCAACCTCAAAGTACGGTCCAATCCACCCAACCTGCATAAGCACCTGCCAAAGGCAACAAGAAAGAGCATGAACGTAGAAAGGCTTATGTGTAGCTTTCCGAATTTTGGGCACATTTGCACCCCCCAAAAAAGACTAGCACGATGATACGTGCCCTCAAAGCACGCGTTTGTCTTGACGAGTCCAAACTGCAACCCTAAACTCTAAACCCTAAACCCATTATGGTAGTTTCCATTTTCTTGACCGTTTCCATTTTCTTTTCCACTATCCCTATTTAACCAAACCCTAAACCCTAAACCCCTTGCCGGCTCACAAGCCATCCCTGTCTCGAATGCCAGGTACGGCATGCTACCGCTACTGGGACAGTCCTGGGGCGCTTTCCAGGAGTTTCCCAAAATTAGGGGTACCTCTAGAGGGGCTTATAGGGGTTATATAGAGATAGTGGAAGAGAACATGAAAACTGCTGTTTAGGGTTGGGGTTTCCTACCGGGCGTCCGCAGGAGTGGGAGAGTGAATAGTCTTAGGGGAAAAGCTGTGTAAATATATCCAATAGACATGAAATTGTATAGTGGGCATGTGTAAGCCTGTACATCTTTACGTAACTGATATCTGCGATGTACATGCCTATACACTTGTATATTCTTTGTTTATGCATGTCCGCGCGTGTGTACATACACACACCTGTATATATATATATATAGAAATATATGCATGCTTGTAGTATGTGTATATTTTGTATCTGCAAGGTTTCCTGGTACACACACGCAGTGTGTCGACACCAGCTAGATGTTTTACTCATCATGATGAGCAAGCGATTCCATGGCTTCATTCAGCCCGGAGCCCTGAACCCTAACCCAGACCCCTGATCACAAACTCCCTTTAATAGGGAGTATAATAGGGATCCGAATATTAAGGCCCTTAAAAGGAGGGGGTTCATTAATCATGGGTCTACATTAAGCCCCAAACCCCCGAAACCCTGAACCTCAAACTCACGAACCCGAAGCCCCAAGGTCCTCAACCCGTTCCACCATCCTAAGCTGTCTTAAACAGTGAACCCTATACTATAGTAGTTTCCATTTTCTTTTCCATTATCCCAATATAACCCCATTATATACCCTATAAAACCCATTATAGTAGTTTCCATTTTGTTTTCCATTATCCCATGACTTTGGGAATCCATTCTTACTACTGTTAAACAACCACTCTCAGTCATAAATACGTCTCCAACATATGGAGTCACTTCTGGAGTATATTTGATGCCTGGGGTGGGGGGAGGAGTTTAATATTAGGATAGGGATGAACCCCCCCGGAAAAGCCTAAACTCTCAATATCAGCTTCCGTTTTCTTGCCAGTGAGCCCTACATCCACCCCGAAGATGGGTATGTCGTCACCATCTAGGTGTATACATATATGTATCCATCTTGAACCCGGAACTCTACAACATTTCAAAAACAAACAGCTGACCCTGCTAAGACGAGCATGTCGTCACCAACTATGCATCCCTAAACCCCGAATAGTAGCTTCCAATTTCTTGAAATTCACCCCATAACCCTATACTCCCATAAACCCTAACCCTAAACCAATATGTGAGGAGTATGTCGTCACCAACTACACCATCATCGCTCATGTGCCATCCAAGATTCCTGCGCGGGAAGCCGCCGGCCTGCCGATGGGCCGCCATTTAAGACCCTTATGGGTTTACGGTTCAGGGTTTAGGGTTCAGCGTTTAGGGTTTAGGCCCTATGGGTCCAAGGACTCAGATAATGGGGCTTTAGCTCCCAAATAGCATTTAGATTAGCATTTGAGCCCTAAAGCCCGGTTATACGAATTTGGACCCTTAGGGAGAGGGTTCAGAGGTGGGTTTAGGGTTTGGATTGAGGGTTTAGGATTGAGGGTTTAGGATGGTGTAGAGTTTAGGTTTTTAGGGCTTAAGGGTTTTGTGAGGTTATGGGCCTTATGGGCTTCATGGCATTTAGGGGCTTCCTTTTATGGCGTTTAGAAAATTGTTGATAAGGTTTACAGCATTTGTTGGGGCTTATGGGGTTGAAAGGATCTAGGGGGCTCATGGCGGTTCCTAGGGTTTGGTGGGCTTGTGATTTTCTGCAGACCCGTGGTTAATGAACTCCCTCCTTTTAAGGGCCTAAATATGAGCATCACCATCATACGTCCCGTTAAGGGGAGGGGGTTTATTTGATTAAGGGTCTGCCTTATGAGGTCTATGGAGTTAGTTTCTGGCAGGGGGGGGGGGTGTTCAGGGTGCAAGAGTGAGAGATTAGCGTTTAGGGTTCGGGGTTTAGGGCAGTTGCTCAGAAGCAGGAAGCCTTCAGTGTGGACTACTACATGGACCATTATCTCGCTAAATCCTATAAACCCTGCAAACCCTCTGAATCCTGTAATCTTTGTAAATCCTATACAAGACCTTAAACCCTGCAGGTCCTATAATCGCTACACAGCCTATAAGCGTTATGAAGCCCATAGCAGAATTCTGGCCCATAAGCCCTAAACCTGCAAAATTCTGGAATACTAATAGCAATCGCAATAGTGATAGTAGTAACAATCGAAATAGTAACAGTAGTGATAAAAGTAATACAAACGGATTGTTTCCCAGGCCTTTAGTTGGCCTCACAGTTGTCCAGTCGTTGGCCCCCGTGCTTCGGGTGTGGCAGCGGAATGGCGAGAGCAGCAAGGCCCTAGCAGTGACATGCAGTTCGCCGCTTTTCATGTTTTGCCACCACGAAACAAGTCCTTCTGTTCTTATCTTGCACCACCTTAGGTCCCTAAAGTCCTAGGACTTACCGTAGTTTACGGCCCATAGGTGGTGCAAGATTTCATCCATCAACAATAGCTCGCATGATGTCTAGTATGCAAGGGTTGTATTGGAATTGCAGAAGTTTTTTTCGAGAGTTTTTTCGTGAGTACTAAGAGGATCCTGGTAGCCCAAGTTCCCTAAATTAGGTCCCTACAACTATCACATGCCTATCGAATGGTCCCAATTTGTCGTTTTTTTTTTTTTTTTT